AATACTCAAAGTTCCCTACAAATGGTTCCAAACATCTATATATAGAGTTTAGGTAGCTAAGAGAAGAAGCCAAAGTCTTTGGTAGCTTGGAGAGGAAGCTAGACATCTAGGAGATAAGAAGACACTTAGATCTAGTTTCACCAATCATAAACAAGCTCCAGGAGACATGTTTGAGACATATAGGAGACAACTAGATCAAGAAAATCCAATGGGCAAGTGCCAAGTGTTCTCATTCCTTTAGGTGGTTGGAGAAGTAGTTCAAAGGGTGGAAGCTAATCAAGGTAGGTAGCCAAGGTGTCCTTGCCTAGTCTTGGTTGAAACAAAAACCAAGGAATTGATTTGCTTTGGTTAACTAAATGAAGATTAAACCTAGCCAAATCAATTCCTTAGGCTAAAAGAAGAAAAACAAGCACAATATCACTTTTGACTATTTCCACACCTTTACTACTTCCACACCATCTAGAATGTCTATTGCCACACCATTAGAATGACTATTTCCACTCCAACTACTAAACTTAAAAAAAAAAACTAAAAATGGTGACCATGAATACAAGCTCAAAATGAATACATTTCAATAAGGAACATGTCTCTAAATTATAAAGGCATGACCTACAAATAAGGAAACATATACCCCCAAATACAAGGGTAAAAAAACCTATACATTTAACTACTATATACAAATGAATGGGAAACAAACAATACAAAGTAAATAAATAGAAGACTAAGCAACTAGGAGGAGAACACATACTTTATGCTCATGATAAGCACAGGTCTAAGAAACACATATTCTTTAGTAACTTTTTCTAGCCTCCTAACTGTAGACCTTGTCAAAGGTTCTATGATCTTCAAGGATGGTCCTCTATCAGGATGAGAAATGTTGTAAGTGTTAGAACATAGTTTTTCACAAGCATGACTTAGTGGTCACGGTCGTGATCTTTGCTACTAAGAAGTAAAAAATAATTGTAGTAGCAAAGTAGAGACTATCATGAGCGTAACAAAATTGTCATGACCATGGTTGCCTTATAATCCCCCTATATTAATTGAATTATATTTTGTGATTTCATGAGAGTTATAGCTTTAGATGTTAGCTTTCTAATGGATTTGGAATCACCTAAAAAGGAAGTCTATAACTCATGTTATGACATTTTTAGTGAGCAAAGGTCAATCTGTCTACATTAGTCAAAATGTTATGAATTTTTATAATTTTTAGTATAGTAGATGATGTAATTAGAACTTGAGGTCTTCATAAGATTTGTATATAACCTTCTTATATTTCACATGAGATAAATTTGAGCTTCCTAAGATTAGTACATTTTTTTTGTATGTTGATCTTCGTGAAGGTCATCATTGTAAAATAGTCAAATTTCTTGTGGTGGGGCTCTCTTGGTGGGACCCTTGTTTCGAAAGTTGGATCTTTTGTGTTGTTTCTATTGAAATGTTGTAATGCACATGAAATGTGTGTAATTTATATATGTCGTTGTATTATGATGCTAGTTGCTTATCATGTGATAAAGTTGAGAGTTGAAAGTTGAATGTACACATGCATATGAATGCACAACATTGTATGAAGAAGAAAAAATTGGTTATTGATCTAGCTGGAATGAAAAGATCGCGTTATTGTGGATTTTTATCCAATCATTAGTTGTTAATCTAGTTGGAATGAAAAGGTCGTGTTGTTAGTTTGGTAGGTTCAATTCATTTTGATTGCTCACTTATGTTCTAAGAAATCCTCTTAATTGAATGTGTGATGATGCATATAACTGATTTGTTGTGCTTATGTGACTGAGTTATTGAGTTGTGTGATGCATATGCTATGTTGTTATGTGGATGAGTTGCCATGTTGGGGTGTTGTTGATATTGGATGATAGTGTTGTATGTTGAGAACTAGTTGTGTGGTGCAATTTAGTTATTTATGTTCATAATGCATTTGCATTTTACTTCTATACTTATTATGTTGATTATTTTGAATACTAACTTACCCTTGCATGTTTTTCTTGTGGTTGGACTGTGAAGATTATATTTATATGAGAGCAGAATATGGATATATTGAAGGTGAAGTTGTTTTTAGGCCATGCTAGATGATGGTGATATCGATCTTTTGGGTTACTTTGATGTAGTCGATTTAGTTCTGTTGCTTGACCAGCAATTTAGGGTTATTATTTCATTATTGGATTATTGTACATATTTATATACTTGTATATCTATTATATTACTTTAGTCTTTAATGCAAAAGTTTTACACGTATATACAGGGACGAATCTAGAAATCCATGAAAGGGGATCGGAAGGAAATAAAGTTTAATAATAAATATTAAATAAAAATTAAATTAACAAAATAAATATATCTCCCTTTGCTTGCCAAATCAATCATAGAAGCTCCCTTTGTTTCTAGAAAATGTGCTTGCTAAATCAATCATAGAAAATAATCTTAATAAAAAAAAGAATAATCTTACTTGATGCACTTGCAATTTTAGAAGCTCTCTTTTGCTGCCTGGAGAAGCTTGAGCGCTCACTTCCCTTCCCTTATATAAGGGTGTAGCTTGAAAGTTTGGAGTTGGAGTTTGAATGAATGTAGAAGAAGAATTGACTTCCGCAGCAAGATTAAACTTTTGTCTTTTCATGTATATTAATATTAATAATTTAATGTTACAAAGTGTAAAAAATAAAAGCTATCAAAGAAAAGTACAAAAGGTGCTATCTTTTATTATTTTTATTATTTTTATGTAAACCTACAACATATTATATTTATACTATAATATAATATGATATAAATAAAATATAAAATAATTTTATATATGTATATGTTGGTTTTCTTTTGAAAGAGGGGGATGAGGCCAGGGCCCTTGCTTGCCCCTCGTAGACCCGTCTCTGTGTATATATTATTATGCACATATCCAAATATTGTTTATGTATTAGTCTGTTAGATATTTATTTTTGTTATGAGTAGTTGAGTTGTAAAGTGTGATGACTTAACAGGTTATTATATGATTTAGTTGACATTTATTTTAATAATTTAAAGGCAAGAAAAAAAATGAAAATAAGAACACACTACAAGCAACATTGAGTCTTGAAATGTGGCCGATATAAATAAATTATTTTGATTTAATTTTATTTTATGATTTAAAAAATGGTACACCAAACTTAATTATTAATATAGTTTAATTTTTAAAATTCATTTTATGTAGACAATCTAGTTTGTCTTTTTTAGTTAGTTATGTTATTTTAAATAATATGATTTGGTTTAAAATATAAATCTATTTATTTGACTTTTTTCGCATCTTAAATATTAAACTAACACCTAGATATGACGTTAATCTCTAAAGAAATTATTTTTAAAGAAAATCTCTAAAGTTAAATATTTAAAAAACATCATACTATTGCATCTTATTAGGAGGTTACTCCAAATATTAAAAAGCAGAAAATTCAATGTAATTTCATGAAACCTCCTAGAATGTTAAGTAAAATTTACTAAATTTTAATAGATAAAAAAAAGAAAAGAAAAACTCTTTTCTTAATTGTTGTGGCGAAATTTTTATGCGAGTCTCAATTTTTTTTATCTCTTCTGTTTTCTTAAATAATTCATGAAAATTCAATATTTTTATTTTATTATTTTAAATATTTTCCTTTATTTCTATTTCTATTAAAGGAAAGAAAGGGTTCCCTTGCTAGTTGCCACCAAGTGTGAAGGAAGTCCACAATAGCTGCTATATGTCTGACCATAGAGTATCATGGCTTTCGCACTGAAAGAAAGCTTAACTAAGTGCACCAGAACTTAATGGACGGTGTCTTGTTACTGTGTCAGTAAATCTCCCATGTCTGATTCTCTGACATAGTAAACTACTTTAGAAAAATAATAACAGAAAACACATAAATTAATAAATCCAGAAAGGCACAAACAAAAATACAAATTCATGCTGTGAAAATGTAATTAAAATCATTAGATTCAGTTATTGTGAAAAAACTGTAACTGAGTCAAATATTAGGAAAAATTTTCTGTTTAGAGTAATATAATTTGAGTTAAGTAAAATTTACTCTAATAAAAAATTAATTTTCCAACTCATTAAAACTTTTGATTTTTTTTTTGAAATAAAACTCTATTTATTAAATATAAAAACAAGTTAATCAATACAATTTTTTTATTTATAATTAAGCTTAAATATATTTTTAGTCCCTCAAATTTAAAATAATTTTTTTTGTTTCTTAAATTTAAAATTATTTTTTTAATTCCTGTAATTTTTAAAAATCTTATTTTAATCCCTTAAGTCACCAATAACATATTTGAAAGTGATTAATTAAGACAATTTTACAATATCAACCAGATTTATTGTAATATTTTCACTAATAAAAATATCAATAGATAGGTTTTATTCAATAATGTTTAATAAATTTCTTAATAAAATTTAAATATAAGAATTAAAATAAGATTTTTTGAAATTATAGGGATTAAAAATAATAATTTTAAATTTGAAAAATTAAAACAAATTTACCTTAAATTTAAAGGACTAAAAACATATTTAAATTTTATAATTATTTTATACATATTATAAAAAAATACATTTTATAATAACTATTTTTTAGTTTTCAATTTTATCGAACACTTTTATTTTATAATTTTAAAATCTAATTACACTCTACAGTAAATAATTAAAAATATAAATTATTCACTCTCATGTACAGTTACTTTTTTTTTTAACATATTTACCTATTTAAAAAATAAATACAGACATGAATAATAATAAAATAATAATATATGTTAAATAGCTACAACATTACTAACATAAAATTGTAATTAAAAAATGGAGTCCTTGGAAAGTGGAAGATTTGAGCAGAAGAAGACATCTAGAGATTGAAATCATCCGTGTCCCTCTCTCTCTCTTCTTTCTCTTTCTTGGCTCTGTTTCAATACTTTAATCCAATAATCCAATAACTAGATACAAAGTCGAACAATACTATCATAGCCCATCATCATCACAATTCCAAGGTGGTTTTTGCTTCATCTTTTAATATAGTTTCATCATGTTGGATGAGTAGCTCTCATGTTCATGGTGGATTTTAGTGCAACTGGGATTTTTTTAAAACTTTGATCTTGAGCTTGGATTTGGTGTTTATTTATTTATAATTATTTTATTTTATTTTTAATTTTATTCATTTGAGGCATCTAGGGTGGTGTCAAATCGGTCTTTTTCTTCTCAAAGTATGCTGCTTTGACTTTGAAACACTAGTTTGGTGGGGTGTTTTCTCATTTTCCGTGAGTTGGGCTTGTGGGTTCACGCGGATGTGCTAAAGTTTGCACTTTTTTTTTTTTGACACATGCCGGTGATTTTTAACTCACCCGAGTAGCTGCAACTTAAGGGTTCTTGGTTCTGCTACAGTTTGTGATTTTGTTTTTCTTTCTGTGCACTGTGTTCTTGTGATTGGGATTCATTTTATGCTTTTTAAGGTTGCAATTGCAATTGTTCTGCGTGTGCTAGTTCTGAGAATATCTTCGTTGTTGATTTTAACTTTACTGAAGCACCTATTTTGTTCTTAAATTTGTTGTTAGGGTTTTTTTTTGTTTTGTTGAATTGCCGGGGAATTGATGATGTGGTGGTGAAAATGATGTATGGGGAGTAGAACCAGTGTTGTTGGTGTTGAAGATGACAAGGGAGCTGAAAGAGGGATGCCCAGCTTCAATTCTGAGTTGCCCATTTCCAATCCATGGTGAATTTCCTCTTTGCAATTGTTCTTGGTTTAGAATTTGAATAGGTAGAGAAACCTTATTTGTTTCTTCACTGATTTCTTTTATTTCTTCTGAATTTTTGTTGTGAATGTTGGTTTTACTTATTAGTTCTGGGTTGTCTGATGTTGCTGACACTGGTGGTACAAGAGAAGTTTCTTCTCATTTTAGGTTGGGATATTTATTAGTCCTTTAATATCTATAACATTGTGATATTTGTGGTTGCTTGGGTTCTTTTATTTTGAATACGGAATAGATAAATAGATACTAAGAGACTCTGTTATAGTTATCAGTTTGCTTGAATAGATCTATATAAACTAGTGGTGCTCAAAATGGATTTATGCTCTTGTAATTGGAGATAAGTCCCCAATCCCTTGTGAAGGTGGGTTTCAGTTCAAGATCCTAGGGGCTATGCATAGGGGTAATTTCAGCACACCACATGGCAACTGCACTCACAGATGCAACACAATTGCCCAAGATTTGATGTGAAAGCCTTCAGCTTCAATTCGGGGGTGGGAAGAGCTGAACCATGATAATTTTTTTTTAGTACCGTAGGCATAATCAGTCCATGACAAGCCCAATAAGCCCTTTAAGTTTATACTCGTTGGCAGAGACAGAATAAGTGTTTTGTAATTAGAAAACATATGAAAGAAAAGAGAACAAGTTTGTTACAACGAGAGAGAATAAGCGTGGTATAGGTGAGAGAGAACCTTTCTTTATCATTTTCCTTTGGAATTTTATTAGGCTTGGAGCAAGTGTTGGACGTAAAAAAGGAGTTTCTTTTTGTTCCCATCAATAATTATATGCTGCTTTTTTCTTAGATGATCGAGGGAGGTCATCCGATTATCTTAGAAAGTGAGTTATAGGCATAACTCTATCCTACGAAACCGGCTCATGAGTTGATAATTGCTCTCACTTACATGATCTTTGTTTTCCATATTTTTAGTCAATATGAAACTTGGATTTTTCCTAATATACTATCCTCACACTCAACATTATTGGACTTGGTGCGTGGATAAATGGTGGGTGGTGACCCTTTTTAATTATATAGGGTTTATTTTTTCCAATAGATTATGTAGGATGTTAGGATCCAATCCAATTGCAAATTCTGAGATTTAAGTTCCACATTGGAAGTATGAGATTATAGTCAGGTATATAAGTCCTCGAGCTCTCCAACTACAACGACTAGCTTTTGTGGTGTGGTTCTCGAAGGCTCTTATCAATTGGTGTAAGAGCTTTCCACCATGTCTCTTAACTCCAAATGAGTTTGGGACTTGAGTCTCAATATTCGCATGGGTCTTGGGCTTCTAGTGTCATGATCCAATCGCAAGGTATTAGACTGAGTCTCACATTGGTAGTATTAGATTCTAGTATGGCGTTCATAGGACCTTGGGCTCCCAACATCAACATTTAGCTTTTGTGATATGGTTCTCCCAAGGTTTTTACTAGATGCATTGGCTTTTGAACCCACCAATCAATACAAGATGATTTCAACCACACAAATCATAGAAAGAAAATTGAATCGGTGGTCTGGAGCTCATATAATTTGACCCAATCAGTCTGGTCAATCACAATAAGGAGTGGAGAAAAACATTGAGCCTAGAAGTAATTTAGAGAAGAATGATGGAGGGTCATTGAAGGGGTTGCGACATCTTTCCTATGAAGAGCTTATGGATACCAGAGTCGTGACAACTACAAGGCCATTTAGCTAGTTGCCTTAGGCCCCAAATCATCTAAGGTCTCAAAATTTTCATACTTTTTTTAAAAAAATATTTATTATGGATTTGAATTAGTAAGTGTTACATTTTATTATGATATATGATATATTATGTGCTACTATTTTCCTTAGTATGACTATAGTTTTAAGACTCTATTAATTGAACAATTGAAAGTTTTGGATGAGGATGGATTGAAAATAAAATTGTATTAATCTTGAAAAGATTTCAAGTTCTAGTAGGTATAATAATATTGAAGATCTTGATTTATTTTTTAAAAATAAAATATTACTAGAAGTATAGACAAAAGAAATTCATAATACACTATTCAAATACAAACTTTGTTTCTAAGAATTGTTGATAACACTCGTGATAATTCAACTACTAAAAAAATTAAAATTACTCCAATGTTATTTGATACTAATTATGTTTGTTGAAGGATAAATTCAATGTTTTTTCATTTTATGTATTGATAATGAAATGTTAGAAATACCTAATTATAGAAATTTGATCAATAATGTTGTAATCAATTAAGAATAAAATGATATTCTAGTAAGTATAATGTTGAAGATCTTGATTTATTTTTAAAAATAAAGATATTACTAGAAGTATAGGCAAAAAAAATTCATAATTCACTAAAAATATTGATTATATCATTTTTTTTTTTCTCAAATACATGCATTGTTTCTAAATGTTAGATAATACTTGTAATTTTTGCAACTACTAAAAGTAGTTTTTAAAAATTAAAATTACTCAAATTTTATTTGATATTAATTATGTTTGTTAAAGGATAAATCCAATGGTTTTTTCATTTTATGTATTGATAATGAAATGTTAGAAATACTTAATTATAGAACTTTGATCAATGTTCTCAAATTTCAAGATATGACCTTAATGGATAGGAGAAACAAAGGGCTATTTTTCAAATCTGGACAGCATTACAGTCCCACCCATTGGTGACCTTATACTCAACTGCGGTTGTTCATATGGGAAGGAAAAGAACTAATTAATTATTTGCTTTTGGCTGCGGATGAAAAAGAGACAAATGGAGATTGGGTGATGGCATGCAACATAATGAATGTCAACGAAGTAAACTCAAGATATAGCCTCCTGTGAGACAGTGGATATGGAAGGCTATCTCGAAGGATACCCAATTCTCTTAGTCATTTATAATGGCGCTGATCATAATTTCATTACCACTGAATTTGTGACTTCGTCAGGATTGTCTCTCACTGAAACTAAGGAGTTTGAGGTCAGTATGGCAGTAGTGTTTTTACCACGGGAGGTTCAATAATATGACAATTTAGCTTGGCAAAACAAGTATGCAGGTGGAATGCTTGTATTCTTGAATTGGGAGGGGTCGATCTTGTCTTGAGAGTAGTAGCTGGAGAGTGGAGACTTTTGGGGGAAACTAATACTAAATGGACACAAAAGGACATGACCTTCACTCATGATTGTCGTACTATTCACTCGCATAGGAAATCAGATCGGTAAACTACACCACACCAAGTACAAATTACAAATTATACAAGAAGCTGGACAAGGCAAGGGAAGTAGTCTGCATCATGAGGAGAATATGTAATATATTCTTGATTACTATTAATATGAATATCTTTACATAAGTTATTTCACATAGAGGGGACAATATTTTGTGTTGAAGGGTGGGAAGATTAAAAATTGACATAAATAGAGAGCAGTTTCCAATAGCAGCCATTGCAGCCACAATAGTGGCTTTTTGGCTTTTTGTGTATTATAGCATTGCTACCATGATACAGCATTCAAAAACCCATTTTTGCTTGTGGAACACCATTGTTTTGTTTTGTTTTGTTTTTTGTTTATATATATGTGTGTGTGTATATATATATATATATATATATATTCCACAAAAAGTTACATTTGTTTTGACCGGTGTTCCTTCACACTTTATAAGAGACTATTTTTCCACGTGTTCTGCTTATTTTTCTTCCTTTAGACTTCTCAGTTCACATTTTGTTAATTTATATCTAATTTGATATGTTCTTTTTTCTATTAATTGCACCATCATATTCCAGTTTTTTAACTTCATTACTTTGTTCGTATTGCTCCTAGGTTGATGGTGATTGTGTGTAACCCGTCACTTATTATTTATCATGAGTTTTTTTAATGTTGTGTTTTTTTGTGAGTATTTATATATGTAGTATTACTATTTAGTTTGTTATAACATTTAAAGCAGCAGTCACACACTTCCAACTATCTTGCTTTAGCGTTTTCCATTGTTAGCTGGTATCTGCCCCTATTCGAGATTGATAACTATAGGGTCGGGGTCTAGAAGAGAAATCAAAACTAGTAGGAAGTGAGCAGCTTCTCTTTGTAAATGGATTTGTCCTAGTTGTAAGATTTTCATAATAGTCTTCTGTGCTGAGGAAATTAAATTTGTTATTGAAATTTGGCATATTATCTAGCTTACTGGTTAATTGGACATAGTATCTTGTGGTGAAGGTGGGACATATTTGTTGATTTTAAGCCAATCATAATATTCCTGAATGAGAGGTAGGTGTTGTGTTCTCTCTTTTGATGAGTAGGCCAAGGGTAAAGAGAAACATTGCAAGTATCCTTTTAAGGTGAAAAGAGAGTCAATAGGCAGATTAAGGTATATCTGTCTGTCAATTTAGGAACCCAAAAGTAGTTATGGCTTCCGTTTTGATTGGATTGAGGATCTGTGTTGTTATAATATAGAAGAGACTTGTCCAATGGTTCTTTATTTTTGTAGTCAATGTTATGTCACTTTGAAGGCCAAAGAGGGGAAAGGTTCCATATGAACGACACTTGCACATGGGTTAGTCGATCCTAAGGGGTGGAGAAAGCTCGTGAGAGTCCTATATCAAATAGAGTTGGATATGTTGAATAATATATAAGTGAGAAAGACTCATTAACCTAATATCTTAAGGTTTTGGGTTATGATGTGATGTCAAACTTAATTGTATGGTTTACTCACTAGTCCCTACCCATTGGTGAAGTACTCCCCAATGTTGAACTCTCCAATAGTGGTATTAGAGTCGATGGTTCGACCAAGTGACTAGTGACCTGGCTTAAACAAGTATTGGGACAATGGAATTGGTGGGAGATCCAAGAGTGGTATAATTCCTTGTGTTAAAGTCTTCCTAGAATGTGGAGGAAGTGTATTGTTGACGAGAGCTAACGGAGGTGCAAGTAGGCCACCATTGTATACTCGTGATGAAAAAAATGTCTTCTGTTTAAAGGGGAGTGTAGTTATATGGAAGAGACTCATACTTGAGGGGGAGTGTTAGAGTTCAAATATGAAGAGTCATACGTTAAATAGAGTTGGATATATTGAGTAGTATATAAGTGAGATAGATTTACTTACCTAATGCTTTAAAGTTTTGTGTTATGATGTGGAGTCAAATTAACGTGTGGTTTACTCATTACTCATTAGTGAAGTGCTCTCTAATGTTTAACTCCCCAACAGAGAAAAAGAAAAACCAGAGAGAAAATCAACTATTTTGCTTTGCCAAGGGAAAAGACCCCTTCACATGAAAAAAAAAGCTTAGTATCAAATACAAAATCAATGTTCCAAACAGTCAAGACAAGGCTTTTTGGCCATAATAAATAAAAAAAATAAAAAAATATTAAAATAAATTAAATAAAAAACTATTTACCAAAATAAATTATTTTGGCCACGTAGGATGGTGAAGATGAAGAAAACGTCACCATGTATGACGTTTTATACATGGAGAGAGGGTGAACAAAAAATGTCAGAGCATTTGACGTCTTCTTCATGGAGAAAACGTTAGAGTAGTTGACGTTTTCTGCATGTCATTTCACGTACTTCGCATGGCAAAATAAGCTAAGAAAACATCATGCAATTTGATGTTTTTTATGCATGATTTTTTCCCTAAAAACGTTATGGCTTTTGATGTTTTTCATGCATGTTTTTTCACCTAAAATAGAACCCACTTATTACACATGGTTTATAACAAGTTCTTAATAAAGTGAACAAAGTACATTAAAACACACATTTTGTAATTGTACTTTTTTTTATTTTTATTTTTTATATAATATTGCACTTATTTACACTGTCCTTTTAAGTACGTGGTTGAATTTATGCTGTCCTTTCTCTGCAGCCACGCTGTCCTTTCATGCATGTCCAAGTCGGTAACTCAGAAATGGACCTTGTTCAATGGATTCAGTTCTGCATGGAAAAAAAAGTGTAAATAAGCGTAATATTGTAAAAAAAAAAAGTACAATTACAAAACTTGCGTTTAAATGTAATTTGTTCACTTTATTAAGAACTTGTTATAAACCATGTGTAATAGGTGAAAAAACATGCATGAAAAACGTCAAAAGCTATGACGTTTTTAGGGAAAAAGTCATGCATAAAAAACGTCAAATTGCATGACGTTTTCTTGGCTTATTTTGCTATGCAAAGTATGTGAAATGACATGTAGAAAACATCAACTGCTCTGATGTTTTTGGTTTTCTTTTCTCCATGAAGAAGATGTCAAATGCTCTGACCTTTTTTGTTTTCTCTCTCCATGTATAAAACTTCATATATGGTGACGTTTTCTTCATCTTCATCATCCTACATGGCCAAAATAATTTATTTTGGTAAATAATTTTTTATTTAATTTATTTCAGTAGTTTTTTATTTTTTATTATTTATTATGGCCAAAAAGCCCAAAGACAAACTGACCTCTCAATTATTCTAACTATTGCCTCCTAGAATAGACCTTTAATGTTGTATCTCTTGGTTCTTAACATAATGACTTGAATATTCTTAAATATGTTTATCATAATGATTTAAGAAATATTTTCATAATTTTTGAACATGGTTTTGCAAAGTATACTGTATGCCAAGGATCTTCTAGCTCACTTTTGTTTTCCTTTCCATTTTCAGTAAAACTGCTCTTAAGGTTTTCCTTTGAATGGAAATCTGGGTTTTGTTTTAGTAAGAATAGAATAAGCATTGTAGAAGGAAGAAGCACGGATTTGTCTTAGACCCCAATTAAGAAATGTATAAAGTGGAAAAATCTCAATTTTCTGTTTTTCTTCACCCATTCCTTACAATTTGGTAATTTGGAAACCTGATTCTGTGTTCTACCACCTTTTATTTTTACATTCATCAACTTTTAGATGACTTCTGTTTTTTATGTGATTTTTCTGTTAAATAAAACATAAAGACGGACTTGTTTTGGTGCAATTCTGACAAAGTATGGCTTTCAGCAATGCAGAGGGGAGCACAATTGATTCCTTTCGTGTTTCTGACTTTGGAGCATTTGATCAGTCATATCGCGTAGAGGATGCTGTTGACCTGAGTGGAAGTAAGATTTCTGCAATCCAACATAACAAAGTTTACATGTAATGAGCAAATGGTGTCAATATGTTGCATTATCTCATTTATGATGCATCAGATCATCTTTACAAGACTTCGTCCTTTTTTATTTGTCTAGATGATGTTGAATTATCATTTTAAAAGAAAAAAAAAATGGAATTTTGCAATGATTGCTCGTTGATCACCTCAAGGTTGTTAGGGTCCATTTGGAGGTCAGGATAAGATAGATGTGATATGAGAGTATGATAGGATAAAAGTAAGATATGGTAAGAGTAGGATAAACATTAATTCTATCATGTTTGGTGCACACATCATGATAACAAACAAGATAACATTATTTCAACGTGTTTTGTATTTAATATATACCAATAAGATATTATATAAAGTATATTCAAATAAACAAATTTATGTTTCATTAAAATTACATATAATTTTTTAAAATAAGTTTTAATTTAGTTATTTAAAATTTTTATATTAAAAATATAATTTCAACTGTATAATACAAAATTGTTTATAATATAATTTTCTTAAAATTATAAAAATTATATCATATTTTTTAAAATTATAGTTATTATTCAAATACTTTTCTAAAATTTTTTGAATAATAATTTTATTTTAATATTTAATTAATTTAATAATATACTTTAAATTTACATGTCAAAATTATTATAACTATATATAAAATTAAATGTTGAATGTAAAAGTTATACTGCATATTATATAATATATATTGTTATATATTTTATAAATTAATATTATTAGTGTATATGTTATATTTATTATTTATTATATATATATATATATATAGTTTTTGCTACTTTGTATATAGTATAATATAGAATAATATAATAAATGTATTATAAATAAAAATTATAATTTTAATATAAATAGTAATAATATACTTTAAATTTACAAGTCAAAATTATTATAATTATATATATGATAAAATGTGGAATGTAAATTTTATAATATATATTATATTAATTAATGTATACATTTTAATAATAATATAATATTATATATATTACTATATAAATTAACATTATATAATATATATTTTATAAATTATTTAATATTATATGACATAATGTATATGGAGAGAAGAAATGAGAGCTTATCCTATCATGTTGCTTCTTAACCCAACCCTCCCCTCAAGATAAGATAGGAGATATGATAACAAGATAGGAGATATGATAAGACTATTATATCCCATTGGTGCAATGAATAGCGGATTATAACAAGATAGAATAATTATCCTATCCTATCATATCCTAGCTACCAAACGGGCCTTAAATTGATTTGTTTTTATTAAGGAGCTCTAGTTTGTAGCTTGGTAAGAGTTTAGAGCTATGAAGATTTGAACACAATGAGCTTGAGTGTATGTCTTGCACTCAGCTGATATATATAAATATACACGAGTAGTTATATGGAAAAAAATAAAGATGAACAGGGCAGGAACAGCTAGTAAGTACAGCTATCAGCTAGGATAATGATGTACAACCAGAAACAGCTTTTCTGATAGACACAACATCACAAAACAAAACTATTCTAACATTCCTCCTCAAGTTGGAGCATATAAATTATATTTACAAGCTCGGATAATATAAACTGAATTTGAGGTCCTCTCAAAGACAGTCAAAACTTCAACAAGTTGATCATTGAATTTGATAAATTCAATATGGATTTCCTTGAACATAAACTTCTCTCAAACAAAATGACAATCTCTATGTGTTTGGTTCTCTCATGGTACACGGGTTCTTTTGGCTATACCATTTTTTTGTGGTGTGTGAGGACAGGTAAATTGATGTAAAATGTTGTGTGGTTAAAAAAGAAGTAAGGTTAAAAGAAAAATATTCTTTAACATCATCACTATTAAGAATTTTGATTGTATTGCCAAATTGATTCTTAATTTCATTGAAGAACAACATGAAAATAGACAAAAGTTTAGATTGATTTTTCATTAAATAGACCCAAGTACATCAAGAATATTAATCAATTAATGAGGCACAGCTTGGACCCCAAATGTTTGAGTGAATGGTGGAAAAAGCATAGTTGTATTATGTTTCAGTTCTCTTTAGAAAAGAAGACCTAACTTGTTTTCCTAATGGACACGACTCACTTTAAGACTTGAAGTTGGCAAGTCCAAAAACCAATTTCTTCAATTTTGACAAGTGTTGATTGTTGGGAAGTCCCACATCGCTTGCCTCAATTCTCCGGGTGCGGTTTATATATCTTTTAGGCAACTTCGCTCAATGCCAATTGGTTTTAAAATGAAATCTAATATGGTATTAAAGCCTAGAGTCCATCTTCTTGGTTTGCCAATTCTAGTAGGCATAACCTGGTTCAGTAGACATTTGTGGAGGAGGGGTGTCGGGAAGTCCCACATCACCTGCCTCAATTCTCCAAGTGCGGTTTATATATTTGTTGGATAATTTCGCTTAATATCAATTGATTTTAAGATGAAATTTAACATTAATGACCCAAGTGATCACGCAACAGCTTAGGAGACAGAGATGCAAAACAAGATGCAAAAAGGTTGGTTTCAAGATAGTAGAGTCCTCTAGATTCATATCCCATGCCCAATCAGTTGACCTGTACCACATTGTTGAATAACAAAAGAATTGGCATCAAAATTTAAAGAACAATTTAATGACTTGGTAAATTGACTTAAAGAAATTATATTGAAAGCACAGTTAGGAACAAAAAGAATTGATTCAAGTTTAAGGAGGGAGAGAGAGAGAGACTTGACCAACTCCTTGGGAGACAACCTTGGACCTATTAGCTAAGGTGATGAAGTGTGGAAATTTAGGTGAGAAAATAGAACAAGAACAAGGAATTATTACAAGTATGGTTAGAAACACCAAAATCTATTATCCATGGACCTAAACTCAACAAAGGTAGTCCTAATATTCATCCTCAAAAAGCTTATGCACGTAGTTAAAAATTAAGTTTTTGCCACTAAGCACAGTTTGTTCGTATTTCACTGACTTGCTTTTCTAGGTGGTCATCGTATCCTTGACCAAGGAACCAAAGTTCCACTGAAGCAGACCAAGATAAGTAACTTTTCGCATTGAGCTTCTCTGTAGTGATTTTAGGAGTTTCAGAAATAGATAGGATAGGACCTGATGCTTCCATTTTTGAAGGAAACAATGTCATTCTTTAAGGGAAGAGGAGGTAACAGCTGACCCGACACATGGCTACATGAGCCTTGAAATAGAGTTAGGAGAGGCCCAAAATCACAGTGATGGTGGTGCGTCACTGTTCTAGATACTGGCAGAACATTATGTACTTGATAGAGCGATGCATGTGCATATGGAGGTTTCAGTCTTTGATCTTGGCAGGGTTGGGTTGCACTCAGAGGTAGGTCTAACCTCATTTGGGATTATATGTCTAAGAATGTTAGGAAGGCTTCTAAAGCCATCTGGAGTGAATTAAGGGGTTCTGGACTAACAGATAAGAGAACCTGGTGGTCTAATGAAAGTGTTCAAGAAAAGGTAAGAAACAAAAGGGACTGTTTTAAGGTCTTACTTGAAATTTGAGGTTTTGGCAAAAAATCTGAGAGTGATTGCTCTCAGCTGGTATATTATATACGTATATATAAAAAGAAGCAGAATGAGTACAATTGTCAGCGAAAGAAAGGCTACAGCATGAAGACCTTAACCCTTAGGATAGATAGGGCCAAAAAACAGCTTTTATAAAGCTGCTCAACATATGTAATAAACAATTATTTTAACAGTCTTAACACAGGTTGAAAATTGACCAAGGTATCATAAGGCTAGCTATGGGACAAGGAAAGTAGTGAGTGAGGCTTGATACAAAGCTTTTGAGGACTTGTACTGAGATCTTGTGAAAAAAAAAAAAAAATAGAGAACAAAACAATGAGACAAAGAAATGAAACTTTTACTTTTTAAAAGGAGAGGAGGGGGTAATAAATAGTTTTTAAAAAGTAAGTTGCATACCTTAGCTTTCCCCTCCCTCACATGCAGAACTAAACAATTTGGGACAAAGAATGAAACTTTTAGTTTTAAAGTTTTTTAATTCATAACTGCCAAACTTCTACTTTGTTTTTAAAGCTCCTATTTGAGATTTAACTTTAAAGTTACTTACGCTAAAAAAATTTGGGGCCAAACATAGCCTACATGGCAAAGGTAATATTGACTAAATGGATTTAAATCTCACTCAGACACAGATGCACAAATGTTACTGTTGGCTAAACACCTAGAAATGGATGTTTATAACCTGAGTATTTGTTTTTTTTTTTTTTTTTTTTTTTTTTTTTTCTAACAAACATTGGGCTTTTTTATAGCTTTTCTCTGCTAATGGTTTTTCCTAATCATTGGTTCAGACTCAACTTACAACTCACTAAAAGTTAGTAACCAAACAATTTCTCCAGTTTCTGTTCACATTAGTAACCTTGGTCAGGTGAGTTTTTCTAGCTCTTTTCATCCATTGAATTTCCTGCTTTGGTAAATAAGGTGAAGTTTTAGCAGGTTATATTACATCTTGTTTTCAACTTTTCTTTATTTTTCCTTACTGTAGTTGCCAACTTCACTTGAAAAAAGCCAGTTAACAATTCAAACAGAGCCGCATAGGTTGCAATTACAGAAGGTTCAGTCATCAAATCCTGGCACCATATTAGTTGTTAATACAGATAATCAAGAGGAGTCTGCCATGGCTGATGCCAGTCCTAGGACTGATATTTCTACAGATCTTGACACTGATGACAAGAATCAGCCGGTGATGTTTCTTTACATTTTATGCTGTTTTCTCCCTTGTTCAATTGATGCTATTGGTTGAACTTGCTAATTCTGTTTTAATCTACGTTTGGACATTTTGGACATTTGGTGACCTGTTCGGTTGAACTTGTCAACAAGTGTCCAAGTGCATAATTGAATTTAATCTAAATGGTGTTCAAATTAAATGTTTGAGCAGAAGTCTTTTCGAGTCTGTTCCTTAAATCAGTGCAGAAACTTCATTAGCGGATATTCTTGACAATCTAACATTTGATGTCTGCTATATTTGCAGTATGATAGAAATCTATCTGTTGTTGCTGTTTCTGATTCTAGTGACAGATCAAAAGATAAATCAGATCAGAAGGTGAAATATATAATAAATTTTATTATATAAGTAATATCTAGAATTTCAACTGGTATTACTATTTGTTACCAGATGATAATTTTGTCTTAAATATTATTGTAGACTCTCCGCAGGCTTGCTCAGAACCGTGAAGCTGCAAGAAAAAGCCGTTTGAGAAAGAAAGTATGAATTAAATCATATTTACTGATGTTTTTCAGTTAGTATTTATTCATATAGATGTGTATATTTTCTTGTTTCTCTGTGTAAATATTGCTATCAGGTCATAATACTTCAGAAGAGGATTTGATCTTTAGTTGTGCAAAACTGCAAATGGGAAATAAATAGAGACTGGCAATTTCTAGTTCTACCTGTGCCATGTATTCTCACCTATGTGATCATATGTATTTGAATGGACAACTTGGATATTCTGATTATCTGGGCCTGCTTTACTATGCATTGGACCCTGATTCAGCTCCAGTGTGTGCATGTCGACTGGATTTTGTATAGAAGGGGAGGATAAGATGCTATAAGCAAGGAAATATTATATTTCTCTAATTCATTTGAAATAATACACTACTGATTTATAGACAAGTCTCAAAGATAAAGCTAAATCTACTGCAATTAGGAAGCAATAAATATCCCATCATCTATGATCCGATCCTAATTTAAATTTTATTTAGACCTGATTCTAAAAAGATTACAAATTTTATTTAGGACAAACTTTCAACCCCCTCCCTCTCAAGTTGGGGCATATATGTCCTTCATGCCCAACTTGCTTATAAGGAACTCAGTTTGACCTCAAAATATCCTTAGTGAGAATATTGCCACTTGTGAGGTAGGAACAAATATACAAATAGTTTCATTATGAGGTTTTTTCTTAATTGAATGTCTGACAATCTCTACATGTTTAGTTCTTTCATTTTGCACCAAATTATTTTCAATGCTTATTGTTTGTTATCACTTGATGTGTCATAGCAAAAGATTTGGAAATTGATGAATTACTTTCTTGTTCAGCTATGATGCAGTGGTACAACTCATATGTCTGAAACAATACGTGTAAGATATATATATATATGTATATATATATATATATATATATTATATATAA